AAGAATCTTAAAGTCTGCAATTTTATCTGCTTACTTGTAACCTCAGGCAGCTATTGAGGAGTTCATCTCGGTCAGAATGTGATAGTATGCATAGTGATCGGAAGTGTTTTGAAAACCAGGGGTAAAATCTGAAAAGAATCTCAAAATTGCAGCCAGAAGTTGTGGGTCATTGGATGCAACTGCTGCTTCAAGAAACAATGAAGGCCTGATCGTAGTGACCTGAAATTATATTCATTCTTGTAAAACAAAACAAAAAAAACAAATTTACCTACAATATGGCTTTCTTTCAGAGGCATTTCAGAAAGTTAAGAATTAGCTACATGGAGAATTTTATTCTTCTACCAGACAGACATGATAATCTGATAACTCCAACAATCCAACTGAAGAAATAAAAACAGTTCACATTTGGAAGAACACAAAAGAGCAACCAATACAGACATTTTCCTTTTACCTTTTCTGTTAGCGAGAAAATATTCTTTAATTTGCTTGACAAAGAATATTTTCATAAAAAGACTGGTGGATTTGTCCTTGCAACAAATCAGTTTTGTTGAGAATACAATTTTTTTCTCTGGTATTCCAGAGAAGGGAAGTTTTCAGAATACTCTCTCATCAATTACAATTTCGTAATTGTCAAAACAAGCGCCATTAGGCTCACAGAAGTTTGATGGAGCAGCTGCCCAAATCAACAACTACTTTACAGCTCTGATTTTCTTCTATAGAACAATAAATAAATTCTGGATGAACAATGCATTATTTTTTCCCTAAACAATTCAGGAGATTCTTAGTTACTTGTTTCTGGAACTATTTTGTTTGTTATTTTTCATGAAAATTACCTTATGCTTCCGTGCATATCGTAACGCCTCTAGATAATATCCATCTTGTGCTAATAACACGACATAATCAAGATGTAAATTGAGTTGTCTTAGCATGTCCAGACCCAGCTTCCTAGTTTCTACATTCTGTCGACCTGACTCTAGCAGTTGCAATGCTACTTCTTTTGAGGGTTCAATAATCTGCAAGAAAACATTAGGCTCAAAATCAGCCATTATAAGCACATGATAATGAGACATCACTGATTTCCAGAGAGAATACAAACTTATAGAGAACAGACTGTAAACCTTATTAATGATGAACAACCCAAGTTCAGCATATCGCTCACAGCGAGCCAGTAATTGGATTATCAACACATAGAGATTGGGATGTACTTTGATTTTTTCAACATTAGCACTGCAAAGTGGAACCAGTAAGAATAGGGCACTGGCAATGGTCACAGCAATTTTGAAATTTTAACATATCATGGAAAGCTCTGCACATGAATCCATGCAGAGCACAGTTAAAACAGAATACCAAGAGCAAAAAATTGGATGACCATAGTTTTACATGCTTGGCATGATTCTGGGGTCCTGAGTAATGAACAAGCATACCCGCGAGACTCACATGATAGCAACCAGGTACGAAGGCTCCCCCACCATCTCCTCCTCAACAGGTGCAAAGACAAATTTATAGATCTCATCAGGTGAAATTGCTGGGGAAGAAACTTGAGACTCCAGCAGCTCAAAGACATTACCATTCAGTGGGCTGTTGGTTGGACCAGGAGCTTGAGATTGTAAAGATGATGGCCTGACTTTGACAGTAGAACCTTCCAAACCCACTAAGTTTTCGCGATCCATTTTCCCATCAACAAATTGATAATCACCTGAGTTACCTTTATGTGGTCCAAACCCATAATTGTCTTCGGAGTCAGACGCTGAAAAAGTCGAAGACCTATGAAAGTTTCACTACGAGCTCCAGTAGCAGATTCATGTTTGATTGACTTCCCAAATCCGTCGACCCTACTTGAAGACGCATCTGATGTGGAATTGGGGACTGCTTATATTGGAAACACCTGGATAGAAGTCTGCTCAGTTTATACTCCCTTAACATAATTCCCTGGGTTTACTGAAGGG